TGTATTAAGCTGGTCACAAGTTAAACTCACTTCATCCCTATAATGATTGAATGAGGGAATTATTTTTATCATCCATTTCACTTTCATAGATGAGGATAACTGGGTTGTAGGGAATTCAATTTGCCTAAGTTTATCTAGCCAGCAAGTGACAGATCCAGGATTTAAACCCGGATAGTCTGGCTCCAGAGCCTCACTTTTACTATGAGGTTACAATGCTTCTTAAAAGATGGTATCAATGCCGGGCTAGATGGCAGGAGCCTGTAATCCCAGTGGCTCCAGAGGCTGAGGCAGGAGGATTGCAAGTTCAAAGCCAGTTTTAGCAATGGCAAGGTGCTAAGTAGCTCAGTGAGACCCTGACTCTAAATAAAATACAATATAGGGCTGGGGATGTGGCTCAGTGGCTGAGTGCCCCTGAGTTCAGTCCTTGGTTACCTACCTCCAAAAAAAAAAAAAAAATGGCAGCGAGTGTTTCAAATTATCAAATGCAATTGACCCTCAAATATTGATTGGAGGCCCAGATCTCAAAGATTATGTTTAGGAAAAAAATTTGGAATGCTCTTATCATTGCTGAAAAAGTCTTTCTTTTTATCTTTAATCCTAAGGGATTAGAAAGGATTCAGGAGATAATATCAGTAAACTGCTTCTAGTATTCTGTATGAAATTTACAACGTTGAGAGAACATTTATTCCTATACACCATAACTGCACACAGAAAGGTGCACGTAAGAAGTAAAGAAACTGGTATCAAACAAATATAGAGAAAAGAAAAATAACACGAAGCCTTGTAGTATAGAAGACATAAGGACAGGTAAAAGGAGACAGCAGGACAAAACAAGACTGGCCATAATGTCAATTCCAGGTTTAAGGTCCACTCTCACATATGTTGATCACAGATTATACTATCAAAATTATCCGATGCTATCCGCAGGTCCATGAATAACCTCTCTTGATCTGGACCTAAAGAAAAATAGGTGCAAGAATGCTTTTGCTCAACAAATAGATATTTCTGTGATTTATATTTTTTAGGATCTGATTTCTTAATCTGTAAGTCATGCTCTCAATCAAACCCTCAACGTTACACGAATGTAGGACTGTTTAAGTTCACAAAGCAGAACAGTGAAACCCCGATGAGGAAGTCAATAAACATTTTTCATCAAAAACACATAAAGAAAGAAAACAACCCCTAGTAGGTGATGATTAACATGTCAAGTCACCAACACAAAGGACTAAAAATGCCCTCTTAGATCATGTCTTTGTGCTATAGATTTTACATACATAAATATGCCTTGCTAAAGGGAAGCTAGCATGTTTCTCTCCAATGCCTGCATTCTACCCTGTCTCTCAGAGTGTGTATTTTTGCTCTCTCAGTAAATCAATCCTTGTCTTACTTTGACCCATCCTTAAATTCTTATCCATGACAATGTCAAGGACCCTCACTGTCTGAGTTGAAGTTCACCTCCCTTTGGGAACCTCCTTGGAACTTCCATCCTGGTGACAAGAAAGTTGAAGTTCATGAATGCACTTTTTACTATGTTATCGATTAGGGCATTATTTGAATATTTTGTTTGTTCTTGGTCAGTTTGAGCAATGACCATAAAGAATTTTCAGATGCTAAAATAATAATTTTATGTTAGTTTTATTGCAAAAGGTGTACATAAAATCTCCAAGTGATAAACTGAAATCTTAGGGTTAAGATCTCTTCATGTTTCAGAATAAAGAAAATTTTTGTTCAGCTTTAACTAGTTCCTGAAAAAAATATAATGTCATTTTGGTTGCATAGGTTAATTCACTCTGAAAATGGGAGAAAATGCAGATGCCATTAAAAAATTCCTCCAAATAATAAGTGTTCAAATAAGGTATATATTATAGAGAAATGAGTTCATTTATATATGGTTATTTGTTACACAAGTAAAAAGTTGATATAAATGTAGGCTATTTAGATATTTACTTTTGATTGGCAAGGTGGCCAAGAACATTAACCAAACATTTTGATCCAGAGGCTAAGAAACAATGAAACATTGATAATGAAAAATGGCTTGTAGAAGTGCTATATTGGGCAAATAGACTTTTTACCTTCAAATTTCCTGCTGGCATTTATAATCTCATTATATTTCTTAAAACCTTTAGCTTATCCAAGGTTGCCAGGAAGCTATGTATTGAAAGGAGGAAAATTTTAACATATATTAACAAATATGAGATTCACTAATCACTTTTGAACTAGAAATATTCTCTTTTTTGTTTTTTTAGAAATATTTTCAAAAGAAAACTTTAATTTGTTTGTAAAGTAATTATGTACCTGAAGTGACTGATTTTCTCTTGTAAAACCAATGACACGTTTGATTATAGTAGGAATGTTACAGATTATATATTGCTTAACTTAACATGTTTATTTATTTTCTTAGTATAATTTTTATAGCACATTCTGTAATAACTGGAATCCAACTAGGAAGAAGACATGGAATTTGTGAGTTCAACAATGTTTTTCTAATAAACAAAATGGATTAGAAACAAATTAAGGGATATGAAATTCAAAGTGTTCTTCCTGACCACTTTATTTACTTAGGGATCTACCATCTCTTATTAGAAGTCTCATATCATCTGGAATAACTTAGTATGACGTTAAAAGCTAAAGATATATAATTCTTATGACCAATTCTCTCTTCATTCTGGATTAATCAGTTCCAATATCCTGGTGGAACAAAGGAATTAACATCTCTCCATTTTTTTTCAGGAGAATTCTCTATACATTTTATGTATTTTAAAGTACTGCATAGAACTCTTAAAAAAATTTTTGAGTGCATTCAACATTTTCTCATTTAGTGCTTTTGAATTAAAAAGGTGCTATACTTGGTTTTGTTTTGAAAATGTGCTGTTTGATATGAAATGCCTTTACAGTGATTCTGACTGAACAATCTGACATTTTGGAGCTGTGAATGCTTCATCAGCTGGTTGTATTGCAATTCAATATTTCTATTTCCCCCAAATTTTCCCCTTTGGTTTTCTTACAAAAAATAATCCAAAAAAATTACTTGAAAATTCTGTAAGTAAATAATCTTTCAGATATGATTCTAGCTTTAGTTGTAACAGTTATAAAACACATTTGTAACATTATACATTGGTGTATTAATTTTTTTCACTTACTTTGAGTTAATGCTTTTCAAATCACAAAGAAAAAACCCCCAAACCCTCCTTAATATCAAATGCTAACTTTTCAGATTCTAACTGTTAGTAATGAGAACATTACTCTTTTATATATGGCACTGGAACCTTGTAAACTCTCAAGATACAGAGAAAACTTCTGGAAAAGACTAGTTTAATAAGAAAATTTTGAAGAGCCTATTCCTTAGTGAAATTGCTCACATAGGAATTACAGAACTCTGAAATTTGGTCTATAATTAAGTCCCAAGTGTGAGCGAAGGTTATGCTGTCTATTTTCAGGTTTGTCAAAGGATTAAGCTAAGCCAAATTAGGATGTCAAGGTTGAATCTCAGAAGAGTAGGCTATTTTACAAAAATCTAAATGGAGTTTAAATTTGTCCAAATAGTCATTTATGTATATCAGTGCATAGTATAAAAACAAAGAAAGAAAATATTTGGATAGAAAAAAAAACTAATGAAATTGTTCATTAGTAATTTTTTGACTTAGTAATAATTTTTTGATGTGAAAGAGTTTTAGTATGTATCAATAAGAAACCATTTAAGTTACTAAAACAAAGAAAGCTTAAGAGGTGATTTAAAAATCAACGCAAAAATTGCTCAAGTTCTTCTTGAATTTTAAATTTACAAGTTATCACCCCCATTAAATAATTTCTAATAAATTATTTTTTCTGGAGTTTTGACAATGCATATTTATTTATTTATTTTTATCATACATGACAATAGTGGAATGCCTTACACTAATGCATAATTTTTAAAGAGATTAATCTGTTAGTGCCTTACGTTTAAGATATTTTGTAAACCTTAATTTTGTTTCCATCAACTTGAAGCATCCTCTGCTTTTCAGACAATTTCTATTGTAACAACAGTACATGTTGTGTGCACATTTTGCCTCTATTTTCTTACAGTGACTAAAGATAAAACATGCATGTATAAGTTACCATTTCTTTCAACCAAAAGGGAGGCATCATTCCTTCTTCTGTCCTTCTAGACCTGGATCCACATTTTGTTCTACACTATTTTGTGATTTTTTAAAAATTCAAAGCCTTATGTCATACACAAATATCATGTCTAAAAGTTTAGATTTGTAGGTTTGTAATTGATCAGTATGGTCTCCCCTTTACCTTGCCATACTGCCAGGGATTTCACCCCTATTGCCCTTTTTACTTGGAGGAAGATAGTCTATGAATTTTTCAGTTGATTTAAGCTTTTGTCTCTCTCCTAGAAAAATGATATTCTATTTAAGCATCAAAAGTTTAAAATTAATCTTTAGTTTCCAAAGACCTATAGTTTATATATACTTTGTTAATTTTACAATTTTTTTTGTAGGACCAGGAGGAATGAAAATAAAATGAATTAAGAAATAAGTACCATTTTTTTCTTCGCTGGACATTTTGAAAAGACAAAAATCTCCCACAAATGCAATCAAGTGATGATTTGATATTTAGTATACCAACTTACACAATTTTGTTTAAAATGAAATAAACAATCACTTTTTGGGAGGAAGGGAGAGAAAATATGGATTTAGAGGAAGAAAGAGTGATCCAACAGAAGCTGCAAAACAGTTTTGACTCAATTTTTATTTGCTGTACCTTTTTTTGGTTTCGAAGCCCTGAGACTTTGTCTCTTATTGCTTAAGAAGGTAACCTATTGTATGTTTAACGAAGAACAAGCATCTTTAAATTATTAAGGAAGTTTGGATTCAGAGAAGATACTATAACTCATCCTACAAATTATGAAGTTATTTGCAAATGATGGCTATGATGAAGAGGTGACAGCCATATCACCATCATAACCATCATCACTATCATCAAATATATTTTTATTATGACGGTATATTACTTACCCTGTGGCCTAGAGAAAGGTTCCGTAGGTCCTCTTGAGTTGAATGAGTTTTTACAAACCTTCTGCACTTAGATATAATTCACAGCAGCTGCAAGACCTATAAAAGCTGACTATATCTGTTGAGAAAAATCCTGTGCTTTCCTCTGTCGGGGTGCAACAGATCCTAGTGAGTTTTGCAAGTTTAAAGCAGAAATTAATTCTAAGCCTTGATCTGTGGCCTGGCAGCTCCCCCTTACGTCCACAGTCTAGAAAACAAAACAAATGAAGTTCCGTTATGAGTGACAAATCACCAAGTGTGTCTTTTTTAGTTTTGTACACTCAGCAACAGAAATGGTGCCAACTTCCTGCCGTCCCACTTGCTATTCCCCAAAGACCTATAATCTCTTGTTTTCTTTCCAGCCCTTTAAAATATGTTTTCTGGAAGGCACTTTGTAGCTAATTAATAGTAGGCTAGAATTTCCTGAGGTTTGATGCGCTGCTCCCTCTGAGAGATTTGCATTTTTCATTCCAGATCATGCTGTGAATACAGGGTCTCTTGAAATGTGGAATTTGGGGGATCACCGAGTCAGTCCAGAATGACTAGGGTGAGGGTGAGATAAGAAAACCTGAATCATGTAAATTCAGCATCAAATTATGCTTTTATGTAAATTTTCTATATTTTGTTTATCATGGATTTTTTTGCAATATTATTTTTATTTTTAAAAAGATAACATCAAAATACTATCTTGATGACTCATTTTTTAGTCACCCTTTGGATTCTGTGTGTCTTATAAGCCTCACCCAAATCCCCAGTCCACTCAATAGGGAGTGGTCTTTTGGGGGGTGTCTACCATTCCTAGAATTCTAGATATTACACTACAAAGTCACCACCCAATCCATCTCTCCAAATGAACTCGATGACCAACAATAAATAAGCAGTTTCACTGTGTCTATCACAAGTACGCATCATAGGGAAACCGAACCCAATGCCCTCCACCAATACGGTGATGCTGAAAGGGTTTAATGGGTTCATGTAGCAAGGGAGGAGCAGGTCCTTGGGTTCAGAGAATCATAAAATAATAAAGTTATATGACATTTGCGTTACTCTAATAAAAAAATAAAAGACCTGCCACATTGAGATGTTATCTGTAGTCTTGGAATGATCTTTTACTTTGCCTCGCTAAATTCTTAGTAGTCATTACTTTTAACATTTCAAAGTGTTGGCTTTTTTCTGGTAAGATAAAATAGATGTAACCAGATTGGAGAAGGCATCTCCCAAGAGCATGGGGTTTAATATTAACTCCCACAGGGCAAGAATGAAGGCTTCCGATGGGCGCCTTGGTCACCTTGGGTGAAGGAGGCAGGCTCGGCACACCCATGCCTGGAAGGTGACCAGGTTTCAGCCTTTGGGACTCCCAAAGTGCAGAACTAGGAGCATTTTTGAGGCTTATGTTAAGGAAGAATAGCGGTCTTTGGTAGAATTCAGGATTCATAGGCAGTGTTTTTTGAGTTGAACTTGTGTTTTGTGGAGCTGGTTTTCCTTGTTTAGCACAGTTTCCTGGTTTTAACAAAATAGGGAACCCAGGAAGCTTTTAATTGCATCTGGGCAAGGAGACAGGGCTAGGGAGAGGGTGATCTTGATAGAGACTGAAAGGTTAAATTCACTAGGTCTTTGTTTTCACACCAAAAAAATAGATCCTCATCTAATTTAGGCTTTTCATTTCAGAATGACTGAGATAGCTTCATCATTGTGTTTATCAGGAATTAAAATCTTGAGGGTCAGGATTGAGGACATTCATTTACAAGTTTCTTAGAATTCATGTGTGGAAGAAATCTGTCCATAAATAATAAAACAGTATTTAGTTGACATGTGCTTGATTAAGAGTCATGCCCATTCCTTATTTCCTATTTCCACAGAAATTAGAGAAAAGAAATAATTTAATACTGAATTCAGATATAATTTCCCATCATGTTTATAAAAAGTTAGGGTATATTAGATGCTAGACTATAATAGGTATTGCTATTCTTCGTATCCCTTTCAGGGGAAATTTATGTTTGCCTGGTTTGAAGTTGTTTTTTTTTTTTTCACCCTATGATACATACAGTTTAAATATGGGTTTCATTACTCTTGATCTTCTAACTCTTGAATAATTGATACTCATATTGAATAGGAACATAGCTAAAAATCCTCGAGCTTTAGTTAATATGACTCTTTTAAATTAGTTTCTTAAAATTAAGAGAACCGTTTGCTTTAAAAATGTCATCTGCCACTCAATTTCATAAATGAGAATGACTCATATGATCATAGTGTATCATTAAATTGGATCAATTAAGCATATCTATGACACAACACTTCCGTCTAGGAAAAGCAAAAGCAAATGTCTTTGCAAAAGCAAAGACATTTTCATCAGTCTTGTAATCTCTTAAAAATATCCAGAAGGTTACAAAAGTATTTACATAAAAACTCTCATTTGTCTTACTTTAAACATAATTTTACTTTCTGTTATTCAACATGGACATTTAAGATGCACAGGTTGGGCTGGGGATGTGGCTCAAGCGGTAGCGCACTCGCCTGGCATGCGTGCGGCCCCAGGTTCGATCCTCAGCACCACATACCAACAAAGATGTTGTGTCCGCCAAGAACTAAAAGATAAATATTTAAAAAAAAAATTCTCTCTCTCTCTCACTCTCCTCTCTCACTCTCTCTTTAAAAAAAAAAGATGCACAGGTAATGTTTACAAATTGAATCTCATCTTCAATATATTTAAGTGCTAACATCATAATAATGATGCTTTATTCTTCTTATTGCACATATACTTTTTTTTTTTGGTGGGGGGAGCTTATGTTCAATTAAGCATGGTCTTATGATCTGGCTTTGGAAACTAGCCACCATTTTAATTCACCACCATGGAAAAACAAAAACAAATTTTGAGGATATGATATTTGCATTAAGGAATGAGTTTACTTGTTTATAGAGAATCATGGAATCCATTATATTTATTTATTTGTTTATTTACTGATGTATCAAAATGGACTCACTTTAAGGCCATTTTCCCCATGGGAAGATTTTCTCATGTGGTGATATCATGGACAGATACCATGGCTGGACCTAGATGACATGGTTTGAGTGTATTAGGTGGTATGTCATTAAACATTAAGATGAGCAAACTGATTGCTACATAAGACAGTTTTAAAATAGCTTAGAGAAAAAGGGGAGTGAGGCAATAATCAGAATTTTAAAAGACAATATTTCTGGTTGGGGTAATTTTAATCATGTGAGATTGGATTGCAAATTGATTTATAAAGTGTAGAGACTGTGTTAGTCAGCTTTCCATCACTGTAGCAAGATACCAGGGATATTCAGCTTATCAGGAGGAGAAGTTGATTTTGGCTCCCAGTTTTGGAGGTTTCAGTTCATGGTCAGTTGGCACCATTGCATTGGGCCTGTGGTTATCCAGTATATCACGGTATGTTACATGGTTGAAGAAGTTGCTCACCTCATGGCAGCTGTGAAGTAAGAGAGACAGACAGGAGGAGGCTGGGGTCCCAATATCTCCTTCAAGGGCACACCCCTAATGACATAGCTTCCTCCCACTAAACTTCACCTCCTAAAGGTTCTACCACCTCCCAGTAGCACCAAGTTGAGGACCACACCTTTAGCACAAGGTTCTTTGGGGGACATTCCAGGTCCACACTGTAGCAGCACGGTGCTAATTCTATACTTCAAATGAAGTTTGTCTGACATTCTGTGTCATAAAGTAATTTTTTCTTGAGCAAGTTTAGCTTTGTAAAACTCACTTGCCTTCACATGTAATTAGATGCAACATCTCTTCCTATGTAAGACAGGTCTCTGATTTTGTTTTCTCATTTAGGAAGTAATACTGGAGGGTTTTGGAGAGGCCAATAGAAATAAACAAAATAGAATTACTTCGAAAATCTAATAAGTTCTTCAACAAAACAATTCATCTCTCTCTTTTTTACTCTCTTCTGTTTTAACTGATTGAAAAAAGTCAGAAATATATTATTTCTTAGCTATTATTCATGCTTTGTTATCAATTCCATTTATCTCACATATATGTTGGGCGTTTGGCATATGTGAGTTATAATGAATTATCATAGAGACCCCAAATATTATGGAATCCATGATTTTTATTTTTTTAATTAAAAAATTCTAAATAATTTTAATTTTGGTACTGGGGATTGAATTCAGGGGCACTTAACCACTGAGCCACATCCCCAACCCTTTTTATTTTTTATTCTGAGACATGGTCTCACTAAGTTGCTGAGGGCCTCGCTAATGATTTTTATTTATTAATGACAAGGATTAATTTGGTTTTGGTCTTCTTCTTTCATGTGTCAGTGACATATACTTAGTAGAAAGCATAAAATGAAGACACTGCAGTTTGGAGTTTTGTGAAGGGACCCCAAACACTCTCCCCATAAGAGTTCCTTCTAGATAATTTCTTGGGCTCTGAAGATCCCTGGCTTGATTTTGATTCTCAACAGTGCAGCTGGAAATTTGGAGATTTTCTCTGTTTTATCTTTTGATATGGAATCATCAAAGGTATTTAACAATTGCTTTAAAAATTGTTTAAATTTTCTTTTTTTTTTTTTTTTACTTATTTACACAAGTTACTCACTTGTAAGAACAAAGGACATACAGATAAACAAAATGAAAGATAAAAATTATCCTGACCTTGGCTACTTTATCCCAGTGGTATAATATCTGAATACAGAATGTGATAAATTAAAAATGGACATTGGAACTCTAGCACAGCACCCAACCAAATATAACAAAGAGGTAGTTCCAACAAGCCAATAATGGGGATAAAAAGGAATTCTAAAAATAATCAATCCAAAAGAAGGCAAAAAAAAAAAAGGGAGAAAGAAAAACATAGAAGGAACCAATAAAAAGGGACCAATAAAAACCCCAGAGCAAGAAGGCAGACTTAGACTTAGCTATATCAAGAACTGCACTAAATGCAGTTTAAATATACCAATCGAAATATAGAAATTGGGGACTGCTGTACCAGGTAAGAAAGTGCAACTCAAGTACATGGTATCTATAAGAAATGTATTTTAAATGTGAAGATGTAGGAGAGAAATAAAAGATGGAAGAATATACAGCATGCAAACACTTCCAAGCAAGCTACAGTGGCAATATTAGTAGCAAAGTAGATTTTAAAATAAAGAATATGTCTAAAAATAAAAATGCTAGGTGACAAAATAATAGAGCAGT